GGTTGAGGGGAGTTTTGTTGGGGATTCCTCCAAGTCCCACACCGGAGGGAGAAGAAAAAATGGACCAAAATATAAAGGTTCACCCAACCCCATTAGTATGAGGCCTTTTGGTAGGTGCCCAAAAACAAATCCGTGAGGGCTTGGCCCAGAGCGGACAATATCATACTAATGCGGGGTTGGGGTGAGGGCACGCGCAGTCCCAACATGTGGTATCAGAGCCTAGGTTCTTGCGGGTGGGAGTAGCGGACTGTGCAGTGTGGAAAAATCTCTGTGTGACGGTGTAACTAGGACCAAGACCAAGAAAGAGGATCTGCACGTGGTGCCTTGTGTCGAAAGTCTTCCCGACGAGAGGAGGTCGGGCGGCGCGTCCCGTGAAGTTATAGTCACGGCGGTACAAGATAATTTGGCGGATCAAATGGTGTAGCCCAATGAAGGAAAGATCCACGGTTCGAGTCTTGCGTCGAAAGTCTTCCCGGCGGGAGGTCGGACGGCGTGTCCCGCAAAGAGTGTGCGGCGGTGCAAGATGGTTAGCAGATAAAAGGAAAAATGGATTACCGTTGGAGGGGAGGTCGGAAATTGTGTGGTCCTTGGTTGAGGGGAGTTTTGTTGGGGCTTCCTCCAAGTCCCACACCGGAGGGAGAAGAAAAAATGGACCAAAATATATAGGTTCACCCAACCCCATTAGTATGAGGCCTTTTGGGAGGTGCCCAAAAACAAATCCGTGAGGGCTTGGCCTAGAGCGGACAATATCATACTAATGCGGGTTGGGGTGAGGGCACGCACAGTCCCAACAGTTTTATTGTGTCATGTACTTGCAGGATGATTTGGACTTTGACAAGAAGTTGGGAAAAAGGATATTTTAGTTCCGTTTATAGAATTTCTTTGGCAAAAAAGTAATATTAATAAGGCTGAAGGTGTCTATTTGATGAAATTCCTCATATGAATGTATACACTTGAGCCAAAAGAGTATTATCAATTTCTTGCATTATGGTTCTTTTTTAATTTTAAATTTCTAAGTGTTCTCATTAGACTAAAATCTGATCGTTTTATTTTTTTTGTAAAGGTACTGTTGTTTGGGCTCATGTGTTGATTCATATCTATAATGAAAGTTACTATTTGAATTTCTATAATTCGTTGTATAGCTAATGGCTCAACTATATCATAAAGAAAAAAAAGGAATGCTAATGAGAAAAGGCACATTTGACCATCTATCTTGGATTTATCACGGTACCTTCATGCATTTGGTTCGTCTCTTATAACCTACTTTATAGATTCTTTCATGATGGCACTACCACCCATAGTTTTAAAAGCCGAACCGGACTGACCGGGGACACCAAATCGGTCCGGTCCGGGCATTCAGACCGCCTTTGACTAACCGGTTAAAACCGGAGAAAACCGGCCGGTTTTACTACCGGATCCGGTTTTTTCAATTCTTTTATGAAGAATTATAAAAGAATAGGACTGCATAGGAGGTAAGCGCTTAGCCATCCCTGCTACAATGCTTGATGAGAACTTTCTACTATTCGTTTTCTATATTCTTCATTCAAATTTTTTATCAAATACTTTTTAAGTATATATATAGTTTTTTTTTTACTAAAATTCAAAACGCATTGAGGTAATTGATATGGAGTGCATATCACACAAATATTATATATATATTTTTAAATACTAGAAAAAATGTTTAAAAAAATTCAAATCACTTTTTATTTCTAAGATTTTTTAAATTAAAAAAATTTATTTTTTATTGAATGAAACAACTCAAGTAAATTAAGTTAAATTATAAATTTAGTAAAACATCAATTCTTTATTTATAAATAGAGGAAATATTATTTTATTAATCATATATTAGTTTTTTTAATTCAATGCCACAATGTGTGTGTGTGTGTGTGTATCTATATATCTATTTATTAAAAATGTTTGAACCACCGGTTCAACCATTCGAACCACTGGTTCGACCAGTAAACCGGTGAACCAGTGCCTTGACCGGTTCGGTTCTGAAAACTATGCTACCACCAGTCAAGAGTGAGTACTCTATTATTAACATCTTCTATATATAAAGCAATATAAAAATCTTCTCCCTAATGATAGGTGATTTTCATAATTTTGATAAATATTGAGATACTATTAAGATTCAAGTGACAAGAATTACATAATCTGTTACTAGAAGTTAAGTAAGTTTGTCCGAAAGGTTTTTGCTTGCAATCCCAAGTCAATAATAGAAGCCACACCATACTTAATATCGTGTCTTTTTTTTTTGTGCCAACTTGCAGAACAATTTCTTAAATAAAAGATACAAAATATGCCGACATGCATGGAATTGAACAACATGTCAATAGTTAATCTCAATTTTACCTTGAAAACCAAAATAAACTTATAAAGCATGACTAATTTTTATTAGATTCTAACCTTCTTCTATATTAACACAATTGCATTATTCCATATTATCTACCATCTTCCATATTAACACACTTACATGATTCCGTATAAAATATATTGGCCGTGCAATGCACAGGTTGAGATACTAGTACGGTATAAAAAGTGAATGCTTCCATGATTGACCTAGAAAATAGGAAGAAGAGTAAAAAGGGTAGAATGGGGAGACTGAAAATACTTACACAGTAGGTACTCCTGAACAGGTAAAAAATGAACAGGACTCATATGTATGTCATTTTGAGTTTTTTAACTCCTAAGGAGGGACTCATATGTGTGTCACATTTCCTTATTCTGTTGCTTCTATAATTGTTAGGGCATGTTTGGGAATAGGATTAGCGATTAGCGTTAACGTTTTGAAAAGGCTATCTACGAGCACCGTTTAGCGTTAGCGTTTTCGAAGTAATCTGCACCGTTAAAATTTTATCCAAAACGCTAACGCTAATCTCTAACGTTATTCCCAAACAGGCCCTTATTCTACTATAATTAAGAATATCTCTTGTTTTCCTGATACATAGGGGTGAATCACACATTCATTATTCAACAAAACCAATTATTGTCATATTTTATCAGTTAGAAAAAAGCCAAGATTTAAAAAGTTCATAATAGTATTAAAAAAAAACTTTAGGATTTTAAAATTTAATTAATAAACGTGTTTCAAAATTTAATTAAAACTATTTCAATTCTTTAAAAAATAGTTCTGAATTGTGATCTTAACCTAGAAAAATAAAATATATGGTTCGAGCTTGGTATTGAATATTTTAAAATCAAAGATCTGTTATGTTTTGACATGAACTCATATCTATATTTCTTATGCCGCTAATAAATAAGGGAGAACACCTGTCTAATATCGGGCTGGACTGGCTCCGAACTTAAAAAAACTAGAATCGAGTAAAAGGTATGACCAGAAATCGGACCTAAAAATTTCTTGTCCAAATCGGTTATTTTTTGGGCTCGTATAGTTTTAGATCGGAAAACATGGAATATTTTTTATTTTTTTAATTTTTTTTCTCAAATTGTTTTAAATTGTTTTTCGGAAACGAAGCTTGATTTGAATTTATTTCAATCCTACTTTTTTTCTATCCATCGAGCGTATATGAAGAAATTATATTAATGTAAAATACTTTCATCAACATCATGACAAGTTTAAAAACAATTTTATAGTTTCATTCTTTTGTAAGATTTTAAATATATTATAAATTTGTACTTTAAAGTATTTCTTTTTATCCAAGAATAAGTTACATGGTAAAATATCTAAATCTCTAAATTGAAATATGCATCATATTTCATTTTTCAAAAAAATAATTCTAGTTTTTTATGGAGATTATGTTCTTGCTGAAAATGTCAACGCTTGTAGTTTTAAAAAGTCATGAAAATGAATAAATAAATACATATTTCATTTAAAAGATTATATTAAAATAAAAACAAAAATGAAAATACAAAGTTATATTTATAGTCACGTATTAGAATAAATCTAGTTTTTATGGAGATTCTTGCATAAATGTAATCGTTGTAATTATAAAAAGTAATTAAAATGAATATAATATTACATATTAAAAGATGATATAAAAGTAAGAGCAAACAAATGAAAATACAAAGTTGTATTTATAATCACATTTCATAGGTATTAAAAATGAAAAACAAAGTAGAATAAATACTTTTTGGTCTTACCGGTCCAATGTGGAAACTATACTTAATGGCCAGAATGGCTCCGAATTTTACTTGTCTTTAGTCTTTAGATCGGAGACTGGTCATGAATTTTATTTGTCTAGCCCAAAGCTGGTTTTTCCAATCTGGCCCGATCGGACCTAGATTTTATACACCCCTACTAATAAATAAAATATTTTATAAATTTATAAGATATTTTTTTGGTTTTCAAAAATTAAGATCCAATTAAATTTTTTTAAGACTATTGTAGAATTTCTAATGACTTTATAAATTTTAATTGAATGGAGTTATGATGCAATATACTCCGTATATCATACAACCAAGTGTACGTTTCTTTCCGTGCATTCGTATTGGGTACTTATTTATGTGTAACTGATAGTAATTTTTGAACAACTGAAAACTCATTTTTGAGTAATTGAATAATCATTTTTTTAAAAATTTAGGTACGCTTGAAAAGAAGTACGCTCAAAAATAAATTTTCAGTTATACGAAAATAAATATTCAATTAGTCAAAATGAGTTTTCAATGGATATATAAGAAATACTTCCTCCGCCCCCCTGTATTTGTCTACTTTCATTTTTACACACCATCCAATGCACTTCTTTGCTCCATTTTATCTTGTAATTTGTATATTAAAAAATTATAGAAATTTTATATTACTCCGTAATAATCTATATGTTAAGACAAATCAAACAAGATCACACATGCATATATTTAGGCTTACACATTGAGAGAATTTGATGAGTCAAAGTGCTTAGATGAACAGTTTCAAAAGTCAAAAGTAGACAAATACAGAATGACTGAAGTACCATATATATTCGGATGTACGGGAGAAGGATAAAGTATTTGAATTATGGACTTTTATAAAGTCTAAACTTTTGTTTAAATGAATAGAGTTCGATGCAGACACCCCCTTAGAATTATTCCTGTTAAAGAATACAGTATTTATTTGCCAGTTTGGACCTGATAGATTCATCGACAGAGAGTCTTTAGGCCATCAATGGAAGCTGCTGCCTCTACAGTCCTGAATAATCTCCACAATCTTCCTGTTGCTACCAAGCTCTACACAGTTCCCAGAAGAAATCTTTTCCCTCTTTCGTTTTCTCTTACAGCGCCAAGAGCTTTGGGCCTTCGGAGTGGTGGGGTGCGATTCAATGGACCTATCAGTTGCTCCAGTTCTAATGCTCATCAAAGCCCATCCAAGCAGCTTGCTCTTCTATTTCAAGTTGAAGGGTAACCTTTCTTTTTTTTCCCCTTGTGATGTGTATTTATTTATTCATTTTTCTGTAAAGTTACTGTTTTCCCATATTGTTTTTAAAAGTGTAATCGCAATCTAATTGGGAATTCGAGTCAAGTTTTAATAATATGGTTTTAGTACAAAATTTGTTTCTCATTGCACTCTGTGGTGGCTTAGATCACAGTTTGAAGTGATTTTGAGTGGTTGACTTTTTATAGCATTTCATGACAGATCTTACCTTCATTTTTAAAGATTTGGGGGAAATGGGAATTTCATTGCATAATTTGTCGGGTTACAAACTATAGGAAGATGCAAGAAAGACATGACTTCTATTCAGAATTCTGGCCTCTATTAAAAACTGGTCCAATAGGTTCAATTTAAAGATTTTGGATCTTTGTTTTGAAGATTATTATAATTTATAAAGGGCAACGGGTCGGAGCAGTTTTGATGTGTATGTTAGAGAAGGAAGAACATGGATAAATGTTTTGTTTTTTTAATGTGAATCACAACCAATATTTACTGCAGTTTTTATTGGTTTAGTTGACCATATTTATACATAGTTATGTATTGTTGAATCCCCAAGGTGATTAGCATTTAGGTAATACTGCAAGTGAACTTGATCTCACTATCATGTACTGAATGCTGAAACACATTCACAATGACATGGTATTCTGTTTTATTTGGTTTTTAAACATTTTGTTGGTTTTGTTTTCTCAAATTGCCATCTTTTGTTCTCAACTCTGTTTTACATTTATCTTAGTTAAATTCTCCTCTTAGTCTCTTCTGCATTCCGTGCAATTCAGGGTACTGATGGATATCTACTGCTTCGGAAACCGGCAAGCATTCAATGCAGGTAGGGTTCTTTTCCAGAACTTGTTGAAATGCAATCAAACACTCTTGGTGTAGGTGTTCCATGTAAAACCACTTCTTCTAAAGATCTATCAGTTCATGAGTCTGCTGTGTTGTGTCTTTCTAATTTAAGCATTTCGGAAGCTTGGATTGGACTGTGCAAGTTGGACTCAACCAGTTTATCAGGATCTTGTAAAGTATGATTCTTTATATATTCCCAGTATTTGTATGTGTTCATTTCATCTTGTATCATGAAAAGTATGAATCAGTGGTATAACATAATTAATATATAATAGTTTCATTTCAGGAAGAGCTTTGGTGATGAGGAGAGGATGTTGATGTTGTATTTTAACAGGGTAAGCTGTGTAACCTTTGATGTTCACATCTTTCTAATTCAAGGATCAAGTCATTGTTTAAAGTTTTGGGCAATCCATTTATGGACTTTTGAAGAGAAATTTCACTCTGCAGATTGGCTGGCCAACATCACTACCTACAACCGAGAAGGGATCTTTTTTAAAAAGAGTTATGCGTGAAAAGGTAATTAGCCGTATATCGACTATTAACAGGGTGTAAATGCTATTAGAAAAGCAAACCAATTTCCATTGAGTAGAGAGCTGAGGTCGAGTTACTTTCCTGCAGAAAACTGCACTAGATGATCTCGTCATATCAAAAGCAATACCTTTGAGACCAGGGGTTGAAGAGTAAGTAGTCTCTTACTGATTCATGTCATATGCTTACATGTAATTTCTAGAACAAGTGGATTGTCCATACTCCTTACTTATATATTAGCTCTCTCAAATGGAAGACGTGTGTGGCACTTATAGTCTCTCGCTGCAGCTTTATTGATGATGCACTGGAAAAAAGTATACCCGTGGTCATGCTGACAGCCTGTAGTAAAATAGGGGAAGAGGTGGCAAGGTACGCGCTCATTCTATTTCATTTGCCAAAAGAAAATATATAGTTTTTTTTGCAAAAATGCGAAGTAGAGATGCAATTCATTCCTTGTTTGAATTCAAGAACCATCGTGGGAGAGCTTGGAAGTCATAGAGTGTCGAAGGTGAAGATAATCGGGGAGGAAGAGGTAAAACAAAGCTTGTACGGCCAACTTGTACTTAGTAAAGGTCTCTCTTCTGATCTTGGAGAGCAATTAGCTGAAGAAGCCAATAAAGCTGGTAACTTTTTACCTTGTTTGAAATGGTCATATGATGGCATTCTCCAACATGTTTGTTAGTCATGCTAATCTATAGACTATATATGTGTATGGTCTTGATTCGTGAACCAGTTCCCGCTGAGGAGGTTGCTAATACACCTTCAAGTCAATGGTTGGTACATTTTTTTTACTCTAAATTATCAATGAAACGGTTTCACAACTTGAAGTCTTGATTGTTGGCATTTTATTTTGTTATTTTTTACAGCTTTGAAAATATGGTCGCTGCACTGCAGGCAGGGGCAGAGTATGCGGAGACAGCAGTCAAAAAGTGCATTGTTGTTGCTGGAAGTCACTCTGTGGTTTCTGCAGCTGAGCATATTGGCATGGTTTCCATTGCTGTTCAAAGCAGGTACGTACAATGGCCCGTACACCATTTGTAACAAGGAAAAAGCCAAGGTAAACCCACGATTTTGACACCAACATTGATCTCATACTTTGCACAGACAATAACTGGCGGTGTGACATCTTTAGTTATTGTTTGTGCAAAGCAAAGCATGTGGTCAATGGTGGTCTCAAAGTTGTGGTGTTACCATAGCACAAAACTGGTAATAATAGCCCTTTTGACATACGCTTGGTTCGCTGCTGACCATGTCACTTGACTTGCTTTTGAAGCTTGACAGCTAGGGCAGAGTTTGCTGGTGCAAAAGCAGCAATGGATGGATTTGGTGGTTCAGATTTGACCGTTTCCATGGTACGCCGAATGCAGAACTTATAAGCATCTCATTGGAGGAGGTTCCCCCCGAGTTGTATGACGGGCGACACAGGGCAGTTCGGGCAGCATGCATCCTTACATGTGTCGTCACTACCCAACTCGGGGTAGCACCGAGTGGACCCTAAAGAAAGGTTTCTTGTTCACTACGGAGTCATGTAATCATAATTGGGCACTTGTTGCTGTTCTGCAACCATCAGCTGCATTTTTCACTTCTATGCTTTCATCAACAGTGAATATTTTTACTTTGGGGCAACTCTCCGGGTTGATTATGTATTGCCTCATCAATGCCTCCTCAATTGGAGAGTTTTTATAGTACTCTGCACTGTACTCTGTATGTTCTGTTGGTGATTTTCGTATCATCGATTATTTTATGTAATTGGATTTATTTAGGCATGTCTATTCAGTTTTTGCTATATATAAATGGAGTCCCACGGTATGTTTGAGATACGATAGAACTTTCATATTCGTTCTAAAATTAAAGTATTTTGATATATACTCCAAAAAAAACTTTAGTGTGTGTTGCATGTGATTCGTTAAGTCTATCAAGTTTTTTCATGTTCGTAAAACATTCGCTCTACGTAGAAGCATTGTCTTCTAATTTTCCAACATTGCTCTTTGCTTGTTACGAGACACAAGATTTAAGAAAATAAAAAAGTTGTTATATTTTACCTCATTCCAAAATGATATTCCCTATTTGAATGATGTGTAAAATTGCGTAATTTTTAAAATTATATTCTTTATCAATTATTATAAAAATTAAAAGTAAAATCTTAGATATTTTAAAAAAAGATTAAAAGATTATAAAAATAAAACTTATATACTTGCCTTGCTTTTGATCACATCGATTTTAAAAAAATATTGCGGAGTAAAAGATTAAAAAAATGTGTACTTTGAATCTATGTAAATGAAGGTGTAAATGAAGGAGAGAATCGTTAAATCAGGTATTCTTTTGCCTTAAAAGAAATACTAATTGTTAATTTCTCTTAATGTACATTATCAAATATCTTAAAGTATATATGAAATTATTTTTTCAAAAATATAACAAAATATTAAAGTTATATTTTTTACTTTTTATTTAAAGAAAAACTAATGATCAAAGTTTCACAAGCATTGAATGAAATGTAGTGTGAAACACACCTTATCTATTAAAATATTAAACATATTTTCAAAAGTTATCTTCATTTTGGACTGAAGGAGTAGTATGAAACACACATTCTCACTTCTTAAATATTAAATTTTTTTAAGTAAAAAACGTGTATACCAACTACCAAGGACATCATTCATTTTTTACATTTTACAGACAAAACTCGGCTAAGGATACAAACAATATCAAAAAGAAGTATTGTAATGCCTTGTCATGCTTAGCCATGTCAGCAAATGGCACTCAAATCATGACATTAAATGGTCAATCCACCCCACTTTCATTTCATATGTAAGGCATGACTCCCTCATTTTTTATTTTTTTTAATATTTTTAATATTTAAATTTTTGAAAAAAATATTTTTTAAAAGAAGTGGACATGTTTTAATAATAAAATAAATGTGTAAAATAATTTTTGATAATTAAAAATCATTAAAAACTACAAAAATAGACAAAAACAATGGCTTGCCATTGTATGTTACGACACTCCACTCATTTGCCATACGGTGACTGGATTATATTTTATTGGTTGAAATAGTCCATGTCACCGTGTGACATTTCATTTTTGCCTTGTCATTGCTAATAATAGATTATGTAAATTTGATTTATCAATCATCACATTCATACTACCTCTATGCCGTAGAAAGCTTCTACGTTTAATTTAACAAGAAAATATTAAAAAAATAAAATTGTATTATTTAAAGTCATACAAATAAGAGAATAATTATACACGCACAAATGTTTTTTTTAAAATGAAAAGTACAACCTTATTTGAAATGGAATGAAAAAAAATGTAAAATATTTTTGTTTGACGAAGAGAATATACACCATACATCATCCCTAAAAAAGAGCCATCAAACGCGAAACCACTCGCACATGTGTTTGGCAATATTTTTAACATTTAGCTTCATCGTTTTAAAAATATTCTTCAACAATAATTTTTAATAATACTCTCATTCATATCACAAAACTCTGTAGCTCTAATCTTTTACACATCCAATAAAATACTTTTAGACCCTGTTCTTCTAGGTTAGAATTTCAGAATTAGATATTAGAAAAAACTGAAAGGACTTATAAAAAACTAGGAGTTGAAAAAATCTAGAAAAACTAAAAAAATATTGGAAGAATTAAAGTGTTAAGAAGTCACTCATTTAAATGATCGTCAAAATAAATATGTAAAAAATTCTAATTTTGGGTAAAAAAATATTCATTCTCTTCTGTGTTTGATGTGGTATATTATAAATTTGGATATACAATGTAATTTTATATTCACCATATATAAATATCTTTTTAAAATCGCTGTTGAAAAAAACTAGAAAGTGTTGAAAGGATTTGAAATGAGTCGAAAGAAACTAGGGGTTGGAAAAAAGGAAGTTAATTTTTCCAATCCAAAAGAAGATGGTCTTAGGCTCTGTTCCATTCAACTTATTTTTTCTGATCTAATCTGATTTTTATAGTTTTGATCTGATCTGATCTGATCTAATTAGATCTGATCTGATCTGGTCTGGTCTGATCTGATCTGATTAATTATGATTTGATTTAAAATTCAAATCAATAATTTGATCTGACTTTATAATAACTTTTGAAAATTGTAATGATAATTCATATTATAATGTAATCAATATTTTTTATTATATAATTATTTTTAATGAAATAAAATTAATTGATTAATATATTAGAATAATCATTCATATTATAATGTAATAATATTTTTGTTTTATGATTATTTTTCGGATTCATGTTCAGTCAATTTGAATTCGGGTTACTTTAGGTTTGTGTAAGTCTGGATTCAGATTCAAAACTACAATGTCCATGATCCAGTATCATCAGAATCGAGTCAACCCAATGGGTTATAACCTTTATTTTTTAAAAAAATTAAGTAATATTTATGACCCAGTGTTAATATTACAAATAAAAAAACTAAAAATACAGAAATTTTGGAAAAAGTATTTCGTAATGTAATTATGTGAAATCATTAAAAATTTAATGAAAATATAAATTTATGCATTAAAAATGAGTAGTATTAAAAGAAATAAAATTACAATCTTATTTTAAAACATTATATTTCATATTAAAGTACTCCCTCCGTCCCAAAAAGTTTGTTACGTTTAGAAAAAACTGCGTCCCATAAAGTCCGTTACATTTCTATTAAAAAACCACTTTTACTCCTTACCTTTTTATATCCTACCTATCACATCATACCTTTTTTCTAATAATCTATCCATCACATCCTACTTTTACCCATCACATCAAGGGTATTTTTGGAAAGTCAATACCAAAATATCTCTCCCTTAATTTTCCAAAAAGTCAAACCGTCCCATTCTTTTTGGGACGGAGGGAGTATATGATTTATAAAAGTTCTTACATTAGCACGTCGGTCAGGTCGAATTTGAGTCGTCTGATTTGACCCATTTTTAGCGGGTCATTTTGGGTTCGGTCAATGTCGAGTGCAGTCAGCAAAGCCTTTGTTCATAACCTAAAATTTTTGGGTCAGGTCTCGGTTAAAAAACAAGTCGGTTCATTTTTTGCTAGGTCTACTTTTTTATCTCAAAATCTTTCTTTTTTCTATTAAAAAACCACTTTTACACCTACTGAACGTTACATAACCTACTTAATCTTACATTACCGATTTTAGAGATTTTTTAATTTCAAAATCTCTTTCACAAAGGATGAGCCTCATCCCCGAGGGCTTGCTCAGATATGGTTGGACGATCACTAAGAGGTAAAGTGGACTTTAATCGCAAATTGGTACTTGGGAGTGGAGCCTGCATCTGCCACTTGCAAAGACCTTATATGCTTAGCATAGTTGCATCCCGAAGTTGTTGCTAGGAATCAAACTCGGGTCTACCCTTTTGGCACTCTCTACCTTTACCAACTGTATAACATCCACTTGTTCAAAATCTCTTTCTCATTTCTATTAAATAACCACTTTTACACATATCAAAACTTACATTACCTATCACATCATATCTTTCTGCTAACAATCTACTAATCTCATCCTGCTTTTACATATTACATCAAGGATAACCCAAAATATCCCTTTTCTTAAAAAGAAATTTCCCTAGATAGGAGTAAAGATCAAAATAGAAGTACAATGACATTGTGATGTAAGAGTGTGTGTTGGCAGTGTAATTGAAAAATGATGACAGTGTAATATATTAATGTGATCAGTCAACTGTTGGTGATCCGCGCGAGAGACGGGAGTGCATGTGGCGGTGATAGTGTGATGACGGTTACAATGTGACAATGCGGTGAGTGTGACAGTGTAACAATGACAGTGCGTAATCTTATTTTGATCTTAAATGACTTATGACTCTCATTTTGGTATTTTCAACGTTATTTTTTCGTATATAAGGAGTCCCCCTTTTTTAAATCACATAAAAAGTTAAATAAGGATATTTAGGGACGGAAAGAGTATTACTTCATATTTTTTAGTACTTCCTCCCGTCCCAAATTAGATTACAATAAATAAAATCAATTTATTTAAAAATTATATAAGAATAAATAATAAAATTTATATGTTAGAAATTACATTAAAAGCTCTACAAAAACAAAACCTTAACGAATATATTTTATCTTATTAAATACTCCCTTTGTCCACCATAGATCTTTCCAGACACTATTCACAGGGTCAAACTTTACTCACTTTGTTTGCTCAATTTTACTAGTCATTTCATAAAATAATATAGTCTTGTCAACTCTAGTTTTATAAAACTTTTTATGTAGTTTATTACTATATAAATTTTATTTTAAAATTTTACTCCTATAATCAATTAAATTGAATTGAAAATAAAGTCGATCAAGCTTCGTAACGCGTAATGGAAGATCATACATGGAAGGAGGGAGTAAAAAATATACAAATAAATAAAAAATTATCGAAAAAAAAATTCTTAAAAAAAGAAAAAAGTTAGAGATACCTCAGTTTTTTGTACATCAAATTTGTCACAAGCACACATAGACATTAACCATTTGTTTCTCTACATCTCTGTGTGTATTTTTGAAAATTTTGGCAAACATTTAGCGTACAAAAGCGACGGTACCCTAGCAAAATCCCAACAAACAAAATTGCAAGGAAAAATTCACTTGTATCAATGTTGCACTTACATTTTTTGTCAAGATGAAGCTTTGAAGTACAAAATGAGCTCCAAATGATACGATGGTAGCACAAGTCAAATTGCAATATCGGGAAGTAAACTTCCTCACATTAAAACCTGGTCACACTGAACATAGACATCAGGCGCCTTTAATTCAGAATTTAGAATCACTCTCGAATGAAAGTAGTTCCCATCCGTTTATTACATGCGTTTCTAGTGTTTTTGATGCCTCTTTCTGTCATTTCGCCGAGAACCCGGCCACCGCGATGGGAGTGGGATCCCTGCCAGGTGCCGCCGCCGAACCAGAGGGCTTTGCGGGCAGATCAATTGACCGTTCTGATCAACGGTTTCTCCGAGCATCGGATTCCGCTACTGCTCTCAACCGCCGCCGTCTACTCCTCCGCCATGGCCTCCGTATCCGCCGTAATCATCCTCTGGAGCAATCCCTCCACTTCGCGCCAAACCCTAGACAATCTATCGCAGAACCTCACCTCCGTCTCCACTGGTGGCGCCCCGACCACCGTGATCCGGCAGCCATCGGCGAGCCTCAACCTCCGCTTCACCCCGCGGAGATCAATCACCACGCGCGCCGTCCTCGTCTGCGACGACGACATCCAGCCGGACGCCGAATCCGTAAATTTCGCCTTCAATGTCTGGAGATCCAACCCGGACCGCCTGATCGGATTCTTCGCCCGGTCACACGACTACGATCTGCCGGAGAGGAAGTGGATCTACACGATGCGCAACGACAGGTACTCCATGATCCTCACGAAGCTAATGATTCTCAAATCGGAGTACCTCTACAGGTACACCTGCGAAACACCTCCGGAGATGCTCCGATTAGTGGACGGGAAGAACAACTGCGAGGACATTCTGATGAATTTCGTTGTTTCAGATTCAATCGAAGCCGGGCCGATTCTGGTCGGAGCTAAAAGAGGGGTGAGGGACATGGGAGATTCGAGAAGCGAAGGCGGGGAGAGAGCGGTGGGATTGAGCAGCAGGGGAGGGGAGCATATGAAGAGGAGAGGGGATTGTATCACCGAGTTCCACAGAATTGCAGGGAGAATGCCCCTCCGGTATAACTACGGGAAGGTGGTGGATTCTGCCGGCGAGGAGGGGCTCTGTCGGAAAGGTGACCGGTTCGTGTACTGTGATCAGCAGCCGCCGGATTCATTTGATTCAATTTAAAGCAAATACGCAACCCTGAAAATATAGGCAAAGCGCGAGATTTTCTACCATTTTTTGGTCAAAGTTTGAAAAACTCAATGTTTTGCTATTGAAAAAAATAGGGTAATTTACTTAAATAAGACTAAAACGTAATGAATTTTTCAATATAGTATAATATGTTTTTATTTTCCAATGTAGGACCATTGGTCATTATGTATTAGTCATTATTCAACTAAATGTCCAGCATCACTTGGACATTATTCTTTTCTCTAGACATTATTAAGTCATATTTAAAGAATAAAAAAGTTTATGTTAGTCAGTTTAGTCGTTGTGCCCACGCCTTAGAAGAGGGTGAATAAGGTGTTTAAAATCTTTTCGGAGTTTGATAAAAACGGTGTTGGCAAATGCGGAAGCAATATATAAAACGCAAAAATAAAAACGTAAATAAAATGCACACCGATTTTATACTGGTTCGGGAAACCCCTACTCCAGTACCTCGAGGCTCCTCCTCAAGGATTTGCGAATCCACTAAGTCCTGGCCTCTTGAACTCCGTCAAAGCACCGCACTAGTTTTGGCAAACAACTCTTGCCAATAAGATTCACTCCGAGATTTCACAACGGCTATCTCGAACCGTTTACAACGAAGATTTAACGGCTATCTTCTACCGTTCCCCCAAGGATTTCAAAGGCTATCCTTGAACCTTTGCCCAAGGATTTATACGGCTATCCTTGACCGTTACAATGTAGAATTTAACGGCTATTCTCGACCGTAGGAAGGTGTGTTTGAATAACACAAAAGAAGATTCTACACAACGGCTAGAATATTAAAATGAAGAACAAAACTTAGCCGGTGTAGAAGGAAAGTATACTCTCTCAAAAATACAATTCAAACTTATGAATATGAGAGTATATAACTAGAAACACAAGCTTAAAGTGTGTGTATAGAAATCAAGAATTTAAGGCTCTTAAAATAGCCAAAATATTGAAAATAATTAACAAAAGGATGAACACACTTAGATTAAAAGGAGGGGATGTTTAGAGCTTTGTTTCTTCAAGAAATATGAAGGATTAGGGTGTTATTTATAGTGGAAGATGTTAATTAGCCGTTTGGAGGTGATTAGGGGTGATTTGAATTTAAATTGGTAATTTGCTACAGTGATTACAACGGATCCGGTACCCTTCACGGTAGGGTCAGTACCGTCCGGTACCTAGGTACCGTGACCACGGTATAGCCTACCGTTTGGGGGTACCGTGTCTTCCAAAAGTTCGGCCAACCGTCTATGCCTACCGTCGGTACCAAGGTACCGTTACACGGTATGGGGGTACCGTGTAGGCGGTATACCCTACCGTTTGGGGTACCGCTAGGGGTACCGTGCCACTGTCCTGATTTTTCCAAAATTCCCTTAATCCTTCGTGTTTGAGTTTAAAACCTTTTAGATGTTTGAAAATGTTTATGGGATGGTGTTAAACATATTTTGTGAGTGGTTTTGAGCTTGTGAATATATGTATATAAAGTCATATCCTTACATGGGTTTCTACCTATATTCTACGCTAGTTTAGTGTTTCGACTTCGTTCTTAAGTACCGAATCTTAATGGATTCTTGTTTTACCTGAAACACTTAAACAAACGTTAAGCTCTTATATTGTTTGTTAACATCAAAACATGAGGCTTAGCAAACCAAGGCTAACAGCCAAAGATGTATACTTCAAAGTGGTGCATATGCAACTTGATTTGAGTGCTTTCTTGTGTAAACTTTTGAATCAAACTTAAACTTTTAATAAACACAAGAAAAAGTTCAAAGTGAGTATTTTCAACATGCTTATTCTTAGGGGGAGCTTGTTTGCTTAATTATTTTACTCCCACCTAACTCACTTTGAAGTATATTGTTTGTCAACATCAAAAAGGGGGAGATTGTTAGCCTTGGTTTGCTAAGCCTCATGTTTTGTTGTTAACAAACAATATAAGAGCTTAACGTTTGTTTAAGTGTTTCAGGTAAAACAAGAATCCATTAAGATTCGGTACTCAAGAACGAAGTCGAAACACTAAACTAGCGTAGAATATAGGTAGAAACCGATGTAAGGATATGATTTTATATACCTATATTCAATAGCTCAAAAGCACTCACAAAATATCTTTAAAACCATTCCATAAACATTTTCAAACATCTAAAAGGTTTTAAACTCAAACACGAAGGATTAAGGGAATTTTGGAAAAATCAGGACAGTGGCACGGTACCCCTAGCGGTACCTCAAACGGTAGGGTATACCGCCTACACGGTACCCCCATAACGTGTAACGGTCCCTTGGTACCGACGGTAGGCGTAGACAGTTGGTCGAACCCGTCCTAACCAAGTACCGCCAGAGGCAAACCAAACTTTTGGAAGACACGGTACCCCCAAACGGTAGGCTATACCATGGTCACGGTACCTAGGTACCGGACGGTACTGACCCTACCGTGAAGGGTACCGGATCCGTTGTAATCACTGTAGCAAATTGCCAATTTAAATTCAAATCACCCCTAATCACCTCCAAACGGCTAATTAACATCTTCCACTATAAATAAAACCCTAATCCTTCATATTTCTTGAAGAAACAAAGCTCTAAACATCCCCTCCTTTTAATCTAAGTGTGTTCATCCTTTTGTTAATTATTTTCAATATTTTGGCTATTTTAAGAGCCTTAAATTCTTGATTTCTATACACACACTTTAAGCTTGTGTTTCTAGTTATATACTCTCATATTCATAAGTTTGAATTGTATTTTTGAGAGAGTATACTTTCCTTCTACACCGGCTAAGTTTTGTTCTTCATTTTAATATTCTAGCCGTTGTGTAGAATCTTCTTTTGTGTTATTCAAACACACCTTCCTACGGTCGAGAATAGCCGTTAAATTCTACATTGTAACGGTCAAGGATAGCCGTATAAATCCTTGGGCAAAGGTTCAAGGATAGCCTTTGAAATCCTTGGGGGAACGGTAGAAGATAGCCGTTAAATCTTCGTTGTAAACGGTTCGAGATAGCCGTTGTGAAATCTCGGAGTGAATCNTCTACACCGGCTAAGTTTTGTTCTTCATTTTAATATTCTAGCCGTTGTGTAGAATCTTCTTTTGTGTTATTCAAACACACCTTCCTACGGTCGAGAATAGCCGTTAAATTCTACATTGTAACGGTCAAGGATAGCCGTATAAATCCTTGGGCAAAGGTTCAAGGATAGCCTTTGAAATCCTTGGGGGAACGGTAGAAGATAGCCGTTAAATCTTCGTTGTAAACGGTTCGAGATAGCCGTTGTGAAATCTCGGAGTGAATCCTATTGGCAAGAGTTATTTGCCAAAACTAGTGCGGTGCTTTGACGGAGTTCAAAAGGCCGGGACTTAGTGGATTCGGAAATCCTTGAGGAGGAACCTCGAGGTACTGGAGTAGGGGTTTCCCGAACCAGTATAAAATTGGTGTGCATTTTTTTTACGTTTTTATTTTTGCGTTTTATATATTGCTTCCGCGTTTGCCAACACCGTTTTTATCAAACTCCGAAAAGATTTTAAACGCCTTATTAACCCCCCCCTCTAAGGCGTTGGCACAACGACTAAACCGACTAACAATTGGTTAGGACGGGGGTACCTAGCCGGTTTAGCCTACCGTACGGTACCCAGGTACCGTCTCACGGTAGGGGGGTACCATATACCTCCTGAGTGAAACATACCCGGTATGTTCACTAGGCTACCGGCGGTACCCTGGTGCCGTGTATACGGTAGCCAGGTACCGTTAGGCCTGTGTAAAAATTCCAAAACTTGTTTTTCGTGTTCCGTTTTCAAGATAACCCCAACTAAGAATATATTTGTCATTTTAAAATTAAATTTTGAGTGAAAGGGCATAAGTAACTCATTAAAATATATCATTACCTTTACACAACAATTTCTAAACTCGTAGGAGTATATCTCGTTGATGCTAAACAAGCTAATAGAGGTTTTGGCGTTTGTTTTTCCTGCAAATGATGTTAGTAACATTTCGAAGACTTATTTGGCACATCAAAACGGTTACAGGGTACGACATTCAAGGCCAACAGTTTAAGTCCTACATTAGGAAATGACTTATGTTTTAGTCCTATTCATTGCAAATTTCACAAAAAATATAGTTTGAAACATCAAATGCCCATTATTCTTACAATATAAATGTAATATCAACAAATTTATTTTAAAATATAATTTTGAAAATATCAAATGCCCATAAAATATATTTATGTATAAATATAGATATGAATGGTCAAAGTGTTACATTCAGATCGTAAAAAATTATAAATGGGAAAAAATATTTCAGACTCTGATGGGAAATAATAAGTGGTTCGTCTCACATTTCTCAATTATTTATGAAAAACAATCAAACATGGCATGTTTAGTAAAATTAAGGAATAAAAGAATATTCTTTCATTAATGTTCCTGCTACTCCTATGAAAGGAGGACTTTCTTTCATCGAAAGGAAGCAAATCTAGACCCAAATTATGTACCATGTATAACTCCGATATTAATAAAAATCCCCCCTTGGTAAGGTACCGCCAAAAAGGCCTGTGATTTGCTCTCAATTGGGTTTCAACATCAAAATCCTCATGTCTGTATTTTGGTGAATTTTGTTAGACTAAGTTTATCGTTCTTGCCCAGCTAAGAACGATATTCTGGTCAAGATCATTTACACCATCATTTTGGCACCACCCGTGGAACTGGAGAAAAAGGTCATGACTTTTCAATGCCCTCATGATGTTCGTCAACACAAACCCAAATTGAGGCATGCTTGGGCATATTGGTGACACAAATAAAAAAAGAGGAGAGAACCTCGAGGTTTGGGAACCGGAATTGTGGACTAGTGCAGTCCTACCAATCCTACCATATACTATCGCGGCGGTCAGTCATTGGCTACTGTCGGTCAGTAGCTATCTACCATCGAACAGTATTCCTCTACTCTTACCGCTGACACGTACTGTTCAAAATTTTTATGCTTCATTTAAATGTCAGAGATGTATTCCAAGACTTGTGGGTTGTATGACGGTAAGTGGAAAGGTGTTTACACCCGACACTAAACCACTATTTATATTATATGATGATTATCTAAGTATTGTTACCTCTCTTATTATATTTTAAATATAATTTGGATATGCCTTGAATTAATATACTAAACTCAAATTATT